TGGAATTTTATTATTATTATTATTATTATTATTATTATTATTATTATTATTATTATTATTATTATTATTATTATTATTATTATTATCAGCTAATTTCAATTTCTTCATCTCTATTTGGAATTGCATTTCTCTTTTATCTTTGCCTGTTTTCTTGCTCAAATTCCCTTTGCCTTTCAAGTTCTCTGATCTTTTCTTTTTCCAATTCTAATTGGTTTTTCATACCTAGCTCTTTCAGTTTAAATTCTTGTTCTAGCTTCCATTTTTCAAAATCTTGGGAGCTTTGGATATTTTCTCCATCTGAGGCAATTAATAGTGAGCCCTCAGTTTCTTCACTTTGAATTTGAGGGTTCCCATTTTCCTCAGAACCTTGGAGCTCATCTTGTGCCTCCATAACTAACTTTTTACTTCATTTGGGCAGCATAAACAATACAATTTCTTATTAACCTGGACTGTTTTTTCCCTCACAAAAGCCAAACGTATAAGCCCCTTTTCTCTCTTTCAATGGCTTTCCTTGTAACTAGGTTGCGCTTTTGCAAGCAGCTTGCCTCAGCCACTCCCAAGCTCACAACCCTTGCCACAATATTTCCTTGTCTGGGCGATGCTTGTCTCCAGACACAACTTCTGCTTAGCTGTTATTACCACCTCAGAACTACTTTGACCTAGGCTTCTATTCCATCCACCACTTCTCTTTACCCCAGAGCTCTGGATTTTGAGCTAGCTACTAGGTCTTCTAAATCCTGTGGTAAAATGGTTTCTCTTGAGTAGGTATTTCCTTATCTTAGCATTCCCCAGATCTGGGTTAGGAAGCCCCAAAACAAAGTCTTCACCAAGACTGTAACAGGTAACCACTTCTTACCACAGATCCTAACCCCTTCTAGCTAGTAATACCTTTAAACTCAAGCAAATTCAATTTTACACTGGATTATTTAATATCTCAGTGCTGTGCCACAAATTTATCATGATCCCATGTGGCCCCTGATTGTTTCACCAAACTAAGAGCTCATGCTACATATCTTTCTGCTGCCACCAGTTGATTACATCAACTTTGTTTATTATTAATAGTAGAAGTCCAGGCGATGTGTCATTTTTAAAAGAACTAAATGGAAATTGTTTATTTTACAGATGTTCCCAGCACCAATTTGTCCAAGCAATGTTGTTAACTTTTAACAAACATCATCCTTCATCCACTCTCAACGAACCACTCCCTCGCCCAAACTCCAAAACTCTCTAAACTCTCAATCTCCCTGACTAAAAACTCCCCCTCCTGCTGCTGAGTCTCTTATATCTCATGACTCAGCCCCTCCATCACTGCCATTGGTCTATGCAGATATCACATCAATATTCATGACCTGGGCGGATGCCACAGTAGCACAACCACATAAATAAATCAGAGTTTTTTTGAAGAATTGAAGTTTATCATCTTTATTAATTCCTTTAGTGTGCTAGGGTTGGGCTACTGATTAGTTTAAATAAGGAAGTGGACCTTTTGGCAAACCTACAAGAACCAAAACTCTGACTGAGAACCATTGGAAACTTCATCAAAAAATGAAAATTAAGAAGTGCCTGAACAGATCTTGGTTTTTTTTTTTTGTTTTTTTTTTTTTGGGGGGGGGGGGTTTGTTTTGGAGGAGCTTCGTCTTGGTGAAGCTAGCAGTTCTTGGGAATAGCTCCCGGGAAAAGCTAGAACCACTTCGGTCTGGGACCCTCCCCAGAAACGGGGGAACCAAGGAAGAGTCAGGAGAGACCCTTCTGCAGCAGTTGGTGAGCCACAGAAGTTAGAAGATTGGGCAGCAACTCGATTTTTCTTTCTTCTGGAAATTCACATCAGCACAGACGAAGACGGACGCCATTTTTGGCAACTAGCCAAAGACAGCTCCGTTCGCCGAGAATAAGAAAACAGAAGCACGGCAAAAGTATACATCAAAGTAAGTGGAAGCCCTTGTTCTATGAAAAACCTCATTAAATAAAGAACAAGTGATTGTGTGCAAATTTATGACCAAATGAGATAAGGAGCGGCATTCCTAGCATACCAGCTTTTACCCAAGCTGAAGGTCGAGTCATTTCTAAAGGAACAGCCAGGCAGAAATAGCTCTTGTCTCCATTAAAGGAGGAAAAATAACTCTTGAAGAATCAACTGACAGGCTTTGAAAAAATAAACTCTGTTGCAAGCTGTTCACTTTGGACCCTTTTCCTCTTTGGATATATATTTTTAGACTGT